TCAGAAGCCCTTCAGCCCTAGAAGCCTCAAGTCCTACACCCTGAAACTTACATGAATCCCGTAAACCCTAAACCCTAAACCCTAAACCCTAAACCCTAAACCCTGAACCCTGAACCCTGAAAAGCACGAATCGGCGACTTCGGAGTGGGAGGTGGTTCTGGCAGCAACCACAGCTGCAAGGTCATCACCTGGGTTTAGGGTTTAGGGTTTAGAGTTTAGTGTTTAGGGTTTAGGGTTTAGGAATCTTCTCACTACCTTCGATGATGCCGCGAAGGTGGCAGAGGTGTATGATGGTGTGAAAGTGAGATTGGGGTTCAGGGTTTGTAGGGTTTAAGGCTACTATAGGGTTTAGGTTCTGGGCTTAGGGTTTCGAGGGTTCAGGGTTTCTAGGGTCTAGGGTGTATAGGTTTAGGGGTTTGGGTAAACCCTAAACCCTAAACCCTAAACTCTAAACCCTGAACCCTAAACCCTAAACCCTAAACCCTAAACCCTAAACCCTAAACCCTAAACCCTAAACCCTAAACCCTAAACCCTAAACCCTAAACCCTAAACCTAAACCATAAACCCTAAACCCTAAACCCTAAACCCTAAACCCTAAACCCTAAACCCTAAACCCTAAACCCTAAACCCTAAACCCTAACCCTAAACCCTAAACCCTAAACCGTAAACCCTGGTTTAGCGGTTTCGTTTTTCCATCGTCGAGGAGCGAGCCGCCGCCCGCCGTGCGTCGCCGAGGGTGGATGTGACAGAGGCCGTGGCCAAGGGTTTAGGGTTTAGGGTTTAGGGTTTAGGCGTTGGGGTTTGGGGTTTAGGGTTTAGGGTTTAGGGTTTAGGGTTTAGGGCCTAGGGGTCCTTCCAACAGCTTGCCATGGTTGCCGTTCAGGGCGATGTGAAACACAAGTTATCCCAGCTGTGCAACCCAACAGCAAGCAAGACAAAGATGATCAAGTTCCCTAAGCCCTAATCCCTAAACGCTAAACCCTTAACCCTAAAACCCGAAACCCCAAGTCCGTTCAGTTCCGGGGACCTCCGGGGCGGCAAATGGCCCTCCGCCTCGCTTGAAACCCAACCCTTCGGCTGTTGGGACTTTGCAATAACGGTTTCCGTCAGACCCTGAAGCCAAAACCCCTGAAGCAAAAAAAACCTCAACCCCACCCCATGCCCTAAACCCTAAACCCTAAGCCCTAAACCCTAAACCCTAAACGCCCTTAAGGCCTAAACCCTGAAGCCCTAAGCTCTCAACTCGAAGCCAGCGCGCCCCATAGGTGCCTCAGACTTCAAGTCTGGCTGAGGCCGTGACACGCGCGACACTTCCGTGCTTTTTTGGTGTCTCTCGGGCTTCTTCTTGTAGGGTCTATAGGGTTTATAGGGCTTATAGGGTTTATAAGCTTCTGATTTTTGTAGGGTTTATAGGGTTTAGGGTTTAAGGCATAGGGTTCAGCGTTAGGTTAGAAACCTGAGGGGTGCATAAGACGTGTTTTCGGGCTTCGGACCTACAGGGATAAACCCTAAACCCTAAACCCGAAACCCTAAACCCTAAACCATGGTTTCAAGGGTGAAAGCGTGTCTTCAGGGCTTCAACGAATTTTCGGGTCTCCAGAATGTCCGTTTTATTATTATGGTGTTTTTTTTTTCTTGGGGGGGGGCTCTGGGTTATAGTTTAGGGTGCTCACCGGGCATGTGTTGATATCGAGTCTGTAGGATTTCGGTTTCAGTGCCTCGTCTACTTGTTGGACGGGGATTGCTCGTTTCATAGGGCTTCGGGTTCTCTTGAGGTCAAGCACCATGATGATGTGCGTACTTTTCAGGAGCTTCATGTAAAGCACCAACCACCAATCCCCCCCCCCCCCATATCCCCCAAAACCCTAAACTCCTACACCCCTCAACCCCTAACCCCCTAAACCCTAAACCCTAAACCCTGAAGCCCTAAACCCTAAACCCTAAACCCTAACCCCTAAACCATCCTAGACCACCGTAACTTTGAGGCGGCGGCTTGGCATCTCGCGAAGCGCCGGGAGAATCAGGTGGACACCTGGCACGCAGGGTAACGGTGCCCGGGGTAGGAATGAGGGTTTTCTTGGGGTTTAAGGGTTCAGGGTCTAGGGCTTAGCGGTTTAGGGTTTAGGGTTTGCCAATGTTCCGCGCACACCACCACGCGGTGTGTTGTGAAGCGCGCCCAGGTTCACGCGCTCTCCCAACCCACCCACCCACCCACATCTTAACCTTGGGTGTTATTGTGTGGGCCCCTTGTGGGGAGGCCCTGTAATTACATGGAGGATGTGCGGTGCGGGGAATTCTGTTTGGAGCCAGACTGACGCTGGCACGAGGGTTCTAGCCGCCGGCCGTGCTCACCGCGCGCACTGGCCCCGAGCCCTCGCTAGGCTTTCGACTGAAGGCTCGGGCTCGTCGGCGGGCCTGTCGCCACGTGGTATCGCTCGCCGCTGCTTATCGCACCGCTGCGGCTTTAGGGGTTCAGGGGTTTAGGGTTTAGAGTTTAGGGCAACATTCGAAATCTTCAGCCCTCAGCCCGGCATGTTTCCGAGTTTAGGTCTGCTTGTGTGTTCCATGCTTCGGGAGCTCTACATGCTTCGGGACGCCCTGGGGGCGTGTTGGGTCTGGGACATAGGTTTTGCAGGTTCGGGCAGAAGGTTTAGGGATTCAGGGCTAAGACAGCCCGAGTTGCTGGCACAAGCTGCTAGGCCAATTCCGAGCTTCAGCCACAAAATCACTATGCTGTACCTAAACCCTAAACCCTGGTGTACAGAAGGTGCGTCTGCCTTCTTGCAAGCAGTATCTTCCCATTGGCCAGTTATCCTATTTCATGGCCCCTGGATGGGTGCCCTAAACAACTACTCTTCGCTTGAGAAGCCCCAGAATAATCAAAGATAATAATCCCTTCTGGCCCTTACAAGCAAAAAGAGTTATATATATATATATGTGCATGCATTTATGTTTATATGGCTCTTAAGCAAATCGTAGACACATATGCAGGTGTTTACCATTTGGGGGGCGGAATGAGGGCTTCGACGGTCAAAGGCACTTCTGTGAGTCCTAAGCCCTACAATGGTATGTTTGACCAGCCCTTCCCCTCCCACATCACCGGATCTGCCCATGTCACCTAGGCGGCCCGGCGTGTTAACGAAGCAAAGCCAACGAGGCCATGGACACGCGGCCGAGCTACCACATGGGGGTTTACAAAAAATTTGGTGTCCCGAATATAGTCCGACATAGTAGGATTCCCTTGTACCCCTATCTTCGCAAATCCCATCTAACTGATTTTTTAGGTTTTTTTGTTGTAGGGTTTCGGGTGCAAGTGGGCCTTTGGGGTAGCTCTCGTTTGTTAAGGGGCTATGCAGGGGCCACTATTGACAACGATTTAGGCTCCCGTCTTGCGCTGTGCAAGCCCCACAGCATATCTAGGGTTTGGCTGGTGTGGGCGCCGAAGCTATGGACAAACCTACGTAATACTTAGCCCCTAAAGAAGCTTATATGAGTCTATGTAATCCGAAGCCCCTAAACTCAAAACTTCAGATGTCAGCAGTGGGCCTTCCCCGTCTTTGGGTGTGGCAGACACTTCATGGTCATACACTGGGTCGGGGTCTGCGTCTACAAAGTTACAGTTTAGTAGTTGTGAAGTTTAGGGTTTGGATTTGATGGGCCTAAACCCTCAGCTTACATCTTAGACCTTGAGGCGCTTAGGGCTTGGGGATTTTGAGCCCTGCTAATCCCAAACCCTAAACCCTACACCCTAAACCCCAAAACCCCAAAACCCTAAACCCTAAGAAAGCCCTAAACTCTGAACCCCGAACCCTACACCCTAAACCCTAAACCCTATAAACCCTAAATTCAATTCAGGCGCCACCGCCTGGTGGAGCTGCCTGAGCCTCCCCGGCCCACCAGCAGGCGGAGATACCCGAGCTCCTAAGAGGGCTTGCTAGGGTTTGGGGTTTAGGGTTTAGGGTTTAGGGTTCAGGGTTCAGGGTTCAGGGTTTAGGGTTTAGGGTTTAGGGTTTAGGGTTTAGGGTTTAGGGCTAGGGATTAGGTTTTAGGCCTTCTCGGGTTTCGGGCTCCTAGGGTTTACGGAAGGGGGGTTTGGTTAAGGGCTTCTAGGTTTAGGTGTAAGGTGTCGGGTTTCGGGGTCAGGGCTTCTAGGCTTCTGCGGTTTAAGGGTTCGGGTTTGAGGGCTCAAGGTATAGGACGTTGATCTTTAACTTACGGCCAAGCTGGGTGCAACAGAGAAGGAGAAAAGGGCACACAGCGAAAATGGGGCAAGGCGGCGCACGAGGTCCGCACACGTAAGAGAGCTATTTGTCAGCGAGCGTTCCTTGCTCGGGATCTGCGTAGCCGGTTGGCCTAGCTAAAGCTTAAGCTTGTCCCACCCTGCCCAAGCCACAACAGCGACGGCGAGAGCTCCTTGCTTCAGGGCTTGTGCAGGGGAGGTTTTCGGGACAGAAAATCCACACCGGTGGAAGGTACAAATAATTGCGCCATCTCCGGGCTTTGAAAGCAGGACTGGCCCGTGGTCGCTGTACAGCGAGAAAAACGGAGAAAGAAAAAGCAGGGCAAAAGAGCAGGCCTACTGGGTCCTACGGGACCTAAGGTCCTACAAGGGCCTCGGGTCCTACGTGTGTCCTAGGGTCCTACAGGAGGTCCTAGGGTCCTACAGGGGCCTACTGGGAACCCAGCTTCCGGCTTGGTCCAGGAGTTGCGAGAAGCAGACATATGTTGCAAGCATGCGTGAGGCAGCACAAACACGGCTGCAATGCCAAACATCGCCAGCGAGGGTGACATGCGCGAAAAGTCTTAATGACAGCGATGTTCCATTGGCACGATTTGTGCACTTGCTGGTGCGCCGACACGACGCTGCAGGAAGGCAACATGAGCACTCGGCTCGAGGTGCAACTGGGTCGCGGCGCAAGTCCCTAAACCCTAAGCTACTCCACCCCCAACCCCCAAACCCTAAACCTTAAACCAAGGCATGTCGAGAAGTGCGAAACGGCCTAGCCTCCGACACCTGGGAGTTGCTGCTTGGCAGGGAATCCCGGCGATATGCAACAGGCTGCGCGGTCACACTTGACGACGAGGCTGAAAGGAAAAGGTTTTCACCGAAAGAGGGGTTTTGTCGGGAGCTGTCCGGATTGCCACACTGACACTGAAGGTAGCCTCTGTTTGGGCAGGCGCCTGTCACGAGACCGGACGCGGTCTGACAGAAAGTCACAAGAGCAACGTCCACAAAGTTCATAGGCCGAGGGCTGATGGGCTCGGCCCGGGCAGTGGTGAGGCAGCAGGCAAACATGGCAGAGGCGAGTGCTTGGGGCCGTGAAATGGCAAACTCAGTGGCAGAGGCTTGTCTCTTGGCAGGATCCTTCTTACGGGCAGCCTGGTACGTTTGGTCGTCAGTTGGGCGGTTCTTGTGGCTGCGCAAACGGTCGGCGAACAATTGCGTTGCGCTCTCCTTTGTAAGCCCGTCGGCAAGTTGCCGTTCGGAAGACACCCACCTGGGGACAGCAGAGGCCTCAACCAGGCGCTGCTTAGTCACAAGCACTTCCACGGCAGTACGTTTCTCAGCCCCAAGACGGGCTTGCAACTCATCTTGGTGAAGCAGGTCGTAGAGGGCCTTTGCGTCCACAACAAGCGCAGAGCTGTGGGGCAAACGCGCGGCATCAGGAGAGTTCAAGTCCAGCTTAGGATCAAAGAACGCTTTGAGAAACAAGGAGGTGAAGTATCGGCTGCGGCCTGGCCTTCCGCAGAGAGGGTACTGCGGGCAACACGGGGTAGCTTGAAGGAACGCCAGTCGAGCACGTGGTAGGTGAAAGCATTGCCCTTTTCCAATGCGTCCTTGTGGCACAAAGTAATGAGGTAGCCACCCTGGCTGCTCAGGTCATCTCTGCACGCGAAAGAAGCGTCAGAGTAAGCCACCACAACCAACTCATCCACCGGGCCAAGGTAAGGGTAACTGAAGCCAACATCCGCGTTATGCTTAGCAAACCTCAGGGCTTTGTTAGCAGCTTGCAGGGTCGAAACTGTTGCCTTGGTGGTAAGGCCGGCAAGCATTGAAGTGTGAGGTTGGATATGCGGCGAGGACTGGGTGGCAACCCACTGAAGTCCACCGAGCAAGGCACGGAGCTGGGTACGCTCCCTTTCGGTAACAGGCGATGTGGGGTCGCAAAGCCTCGAGTTCGGTATGGTGATGGGATGCAGTTTGGAAAGGTACTTGGCTTGATGGTAACGCAAGACGCCTTCGGGGCTCTGCTCGATCTCAGCACCGAGGTACTCAACGGAAGGCTTGCGCTCATGCCACTCACGGAAGACAAAGGTCTGTTGCAGACGGTCCCGGGCGGAACAGTAGCGAGGGTCGACAGAGTTGCCAATGGCCAAAAGGTCATCCACGTAGAGCCCAAGTGCACACACCAGTTGCGGACGACCAAGAGAGTCCAAAGTCTCCCAGTCGTAAAGCAAGAAAAGGCACTGATCCAAAGGATGGCGAACAAAGCCAAGGCGCTCCAACCGTTCGGTTGCTTCACAATACCAAGCACGAGGGGCATCCACTAGCCCATACATGGGCTTCCGCAATTTCATGACAACAGAAGGCTCGGTAATCCCAAGCATCTTGCGAGCGTCAGCCGGCAGACGAATCCACAAGGTACGAGCGGTGGAGTGTTCCTTGCCCTGCAGGAAGGCTGTGCTGATGTCGCCCGTGGCGGCACCCCAACCCAAGTTGGCGGCAAGTGACAGCAGCGTGTGCCGAGACAAACGAGTCAAGGTCGGGGCAGTACGGTCAACAAGACCCCCAAGGGCATCGGGGTCCTTGAAATTTTGGGTAATCAAGCGGGCTTTAGCTCGAGGAGAACCGTCGGGGTTCTTGGACCACTTCAGGATGAAATGGGCTTTGAGGATGCGCCCGGACGGTGCGGAAGACTCATGATCGAAATCCCAAACCGAGTTTTGGAAGAAGCTGGCAAGCTCCTTGCTCTTGGCCTCCTGGAACAGAAGGCGGTCACTGAGACTCAAGGTCTTCTCATCCAAGTCGGCCTTGCGTTTAGCACCAACGTAGGAACTGTGTCCATCGGAAGCCTGGTAAAAGGCGTCATGCGCCTCCTGCCTATACCTGGGCTGAACCTTGAAGACTGTCTTTCCAGTCCACCAGTGGCCACCATCCCGTTTCGGGGCTGAACTCGCCACCTGTTATCGTGGCGGTGCCGGCCGCGATAGGTGTGCCTCACCTTGCTAAGCATGTGCACAGGGACTGGGCAATCGTCAGGGGAAAGAGGATTAAAGGCACGATCCCGGGCCACGAAGTGACGGCGCAAAAGGTGACGGCCATCAAATTCCCACTGGTCCTGCACGGAGTCAAGGTGCATTTGGCCATCGCCGGCAATAGTCCAGCCAGGTGGCAGGCAAGGAGTGGACTGGGGTAGCACGTCACAGAAGTGGGCTTGCTCTGTGAGGGCCGGCTCGGCACTGGGAGGAGGCGACCGTGAGCGGTCTGCGGCAGGCTGGCGGTGGAAAGGCAAGGTTTCTGTACGGTCGATGCGGGCACGGCGTTCTGCAAATGTCTCCTGCGCGGGCACACGAAAGGGGCCAAAAGGCACAGGCTCGGGGGCCGGTGGAAGGTCAGGCGAAGGCTGAGCAGGCGCAGGCTCAAAGGCAGGCTCGGGCACGGAAACCTGAGGGTGCATGTCGGAGTCTGGCAAAGGCACGGCGGCGTCGTCAGACAATTGATCGGACGCGTCGTCCGGCAAGGGCGCTTCACGAAAGTCCACAGTAGGAGTCGGAGGGTTAGGTAAAGGAGCGGGTGCAGGGAAGTCCACGGAAGGTGGTGCCACATGCGACGGGTCAGGAGCCACTGCAACATGAGGACGGGAACGCTTGGGGTCCGGCTCAACAACCTCATCATCACTAGGCATGGCGTGGGCCTCATCCCTGGGGACCCTCCGGTTGGTCCTCGGCAGGTCTATGAAGGAGGTAGTGCCGCGGCCACGAAGGGTTTCCAGGGCTTGTGTGGGCGAGGCAACAGGCTCTGAGTCGGAGAAGTCACGACGCAAGTGCTCCGCGGCAGCTCGGATAAGCTGGGCACCGTGCACTAACCACACAACGGACTGGCGTCCGCGGCTGTCTTGCTCAACCATGGTAACAACGGCAGGGCCACGCCAACGGATGCGGGGGCCAACACCAGTACCCTCACGGTAGTAGTAAACACGCTGGCCAACGGCGAACACCGACGAAGTCACACGGCTTTGGCGAAGCAAGGCTCGACGCAAACGCTCATCATTGTCAGCGGACATGATGGCTTTGGCTGCAGAAGACTGAAGGTCAAGCTTGCGACGAAAGTCGGGAGAACCATCCAAGTGACTAGGGTTAACGTTGCTGCCTAGGAGCATGCCAGGAAGGTCGGGCTGGTATCCCAACACCCACTGTGTGGGCGAATAGCCTTGCACACTTATGGTATTATTTACTTGAGGTACAAGAAAGTCCAAGGCGCGACGCAAGTCGTCAATTGTGGTGCCTCCAGTGTCTGCCATAAATACGTCAATGGCACGCCTGAGAACCTGATGCCTTCTTTCGACCTGGGCTAAACGTTGGTGTGCCTCACCGGGACTAATGAGCAACTCAACCCCATGGGTAGTGACCCAGTCACGCACAGCGGCAGAAGCCCAAGAAGGATGAGCGTCAACTTGCAACACATGCGGGGGCCCAAACAACTTAACCCAACCACGTTCCAAGGCACGAAGGAACTGCTCAGAGGTTTCACTGACGAGGGGACGTGCAACCACATACTTGGTGGCTGCGTCAAGCATGGAAAGCACAGGGACCGTGCGGCCCTTAGGCAAGGTCACCCAAAAGGTGTCAGCCATGAGGCGCTGGTTGAGCTTTGTGGCAGAGCGAAGCGAACTTTTGGGAGCTGGTTGGGAGGAGCCAGCTGAGCACAGGTAGGACAAACATAGTCATGGGCGGCTTGCAGAAGGGCATTGGAAGAACCTCGGGCGCGAAGTTGTTCAACCATCTGGTCCCGGCTGGGGTGCCCCAAGTTCTTGTGCAACCGGGCTACAATGCGCTGCGCCTCGGCAGGGCGCTCTGTAAGCAACTGCTCCAACACACCAGTGTTGCGGTGAGGATTCACCACATCTGGCTCGGAAGGTGCGGCAGGGGCAACAGCAGGCTCATCAGCGGCACGCTCGGGAGTGTGCGACACAGGAGCTGGAGGAGGAGCAGAAGAGTCCACGGCAGGGATGTCGGAGGAGGCCGAGGCAGACCCTCCGGCAAAGGCTTTCTCAAAGACAGGGCGCGCCAGTGCAACATCAACAGCAGTCTGCAAAGCATCGGCAAGCTTGCGACACATTGTTGGCTGGTAGGCAGCAGCCGCGGCCGAGCGCGAGCCAATGCGAGGGGATTGGCCAACCAAAGGCAAGTGAAATGAATGGCCGGGGCACCTGATGCTCAGCATTTCACACAACTCGGGATGAGTAACCTGGAGCCTGGTTGCTTTCTTAATTGGGGTGAGTCGGCCGTGCTGGTTGGGAAGTCGAGCATCAACAGCACACAGGTCAAGGGTGGCAGCCCAACCAGAAATTCCACGGAAGGCTGGCGTCCTCCAAGCAAGACTTGTCTTAGGATACTCAATCACTGCGACATGACCTGTGGACAGCTGGAAGTCGAACACACGACGAGACAGCTTGAGGTGGCTTGCATGGTGGAGCTGGCGGTCTAGCTCCAAGATTTCTTGCTGGTAGCTGTCACTGGAAGTCAAGTTCTGGAGCGGGGACCACAACAAGGGACACGGAGGCGCCAACCACACAACATGCGGGCGCTCATGGTGCAACAAGTTCAAGAAGCGGCGGCGCTCGGAAGGCTTTGTAAAGTCCCACTCAGGAAGGTCAAACGTGCGAACATCAAAACCACGCCGGGTCATCTCAGCAGACAAGTTACCAGTGCCAGAATAAACTTCCCAAAACACAGGCGGTGTGGCAGGTGAGGACCACAGGGCTTCCTCCAAGGCCTTATTGGTGGCATTGACTGCCTGGCGAGCGGACACCTCCAAAGACTTAAGAAGCTTAGGCGTTACGGGCGAAAGGACAGGAGCATGAACGCTAGGGTCGACACTTGTTTCGGCAGAAGGAGAGTCCAAGGCAGGGGCACTGTCGGCATCGGGCGCCGAGGCGGTGGAGAAGGCAAGGTCCACGTCAGGGCCCTCACGGCCCGTATCAGCAAGGTAGTCGGCAAGAGTGAGGAGCGGCAAGCGCGGGTCACACGGGGATGCCAGGGTAGCCAACTCCTCGGTCACAAGGTCAAAGGCCAACGGCTGAAGAACTGAGTCGGAGTCAAGGCCTTCGTCAAGCTGCAACATGAACTCACCACCAGGGCCAAGCAAAGCGGCGGTCGGTTCACCGCCCAACACACTGCAAAGGTCAAGTTCAAAGTCGGTTCTGACTTGCAACGCCTTAAGGATAGGCCGGCCAACGAGCAGAGGCGTGTCGCCCTCAACGATGAAGACTTGAAGTCGTCCGGGCACTCCACGCACAAACACAGGCAAGTGCACGGACCAGGTAGCAAGGGTGTGTTGTCACCACCAAACCTGAAGCAACGGTTTGCACGGGAGAAGGCAAGGTTGGCTGGCGACACGCCTTTTGAAAGCAGGTGGCTTATGGCTTGCATAACGGGACGGTGGCCACCCAACATGGCGGAGGCTCCGCCGTCTTGCTGTGCAACAAGGTTGCCGTCCTCAGTGACAACCAAGGCAGCATCAACAGCATGGGCCGAGTCCAAGGCACAGGGCAAGTCGGCGGCAACGCGCACAGTGTCCCGAGGACGCTTTGAAGGACTTGAAGCAACGGAGGGGCTGGAGCTAGGTGGCATGGGGCACTGCGATGCCCAATGGCCAGGCTGACCGCAACGAAGGCAAGTGGTGGCCTTTGCACGGGCGGCGGCTTTGCCAGAGTTTCCCTTAACAGGGGGACTACGACCCTTAGAAGAACCCTTACTCTTAGACTTACCCTTACCCTTAGGGCGGCGACTGGGGCCGACAGGGATCTGAAGAGAATGGGGAGAGGAGTCGGCAGAAGGAGCAAGAGCGACCACGGGAAAGAAGCCTCGGGAGGCCTTGACATCCGCGAGACGGCGGCGAGCGTCTATGTACGAAGCATAGGCCTCTTCATAGGCCTCGTCGTCATCCTGGGCGATGTCCTCATAGTAAGTGTACTCGGTCTTCTCAGGCTCAAGAGCGTCCAGGTAGCCGTCGTCCTGCCACTGAGCGTCCTCCTCATAGACCTCAGGGTCCTCGGCCACGAAGGCGGGTCATCGTTGCCGTTTCAGTGGGACCAGGTCTGCCCATCATCCGCCAGATGGGCCGATCCATAAGATCGGCGCCATGTGCCGGATGAGGCAGACTTTGAACCACCACGGTGCCAGGTTCGGGTAGGCGGCTGTCGAGCTGCAGCTTTGTGGTCCTGGCCCAAAAGGAAAAACATCGACTCCTCGATCTTGTCAGGGGTCAGCTTGGCACCGACCTGGCTCAGGATCAGCTGTTTCTGCTCGGGCGACAAGCCCGATTTCTTAAGCAAGATATAGCCCTGCACTTCGCTGGGCAAGGCAATGCCGTGTTTCTCAAGCTCACGAACGGCATCCCTAGCCTCTCCAGTGTACTGCAAGAGCGTCTGGTCTGGGCGGCGCTGCAGAGCATAGAAGTACTTGTCTATAGCACGGGGCATTTCAACCCGATTGTCGTAGCGGAAGGCTTTGTCCAGTTCTGCCAACACCAAATCAAAACCATTTTCTTTGTCGGGGGCCGTCTCCGAAAGATGCTCAACCCTGGCCCACGCTGTACCGGTGAGCGAGGTCAGCAGGTTTATTGTAGCCTCAGACGTGCGCTTCAACAGCTTCATGAAGTACAACATCAAACGCTGTCTGTACTCACGGTAGCTCGAGGGCTTGTTGTCAAAGACAGGTATGTAGTTGTCACGAACAAACTCAGCAGAAGTACTTGAAGGGCCAGCAGAGGGCGCGGAGGGAGAAGCCATGGCGTCGGAAGGCTAACAGAAGGACAAGGACAACGGCCGGAGAACACTGCAGACGCGTGCCCACGGTGGCACAGCGCCGGTTGGCTGGCAAGGGAAAAAGCAGCCTCAAGTCCACAGTGGTGAGGCAGAGATAAGGCAGCAGCCGTGTGCACACACACACACAAACTTGCACAATGGCAGGCAGAGGACAGAGCCGAAAGGGGCGAAGGTCAGGAGCGAGCGCAGCGGCAGCAGGGGCCAACACCAAGGGGCCTGGGTCCGGAAAAGGCGGAAGCGGGGCGACCGGCTCCGCTGCCAACTTTAACTTACGGCCAAGCTGGGTGCAACAGAGAAGGAGAAAAGGGCACACAGCGAAAATGGGGCAAGGCGGCGCACGAGGTCCGCACACGTAAGAGAGCTATTTGTCAGCGAGCGTTCCTTGCTCGGGATCTGCGTAGCCGGTTGGCCTAGCTAAAGCTTAAGCTTGTCCCACCCTGCCCAAGCCACAACAGCGACGGCGAGAGCTCCTTGCTTCAGGGCTTGTGCAGGGGAGGTTTTCGGGACAGAAAATCCACATTGATGGTTTAGAGCGTGGTTTAGGTCACCTGCGCCCTCACATCGAGGTTCTGTGACCACGATACATTACAGCGGGTTTGGGGTTTAGGGGTTATATTATCCCTTTCTGTTCCCCTCAACCCCAAACCGCAAGCTCTAACCCCTAAACCGGAAATCTTCCGGTTTGCTGACTCTGAGCGTTGTGATAACGGAGATCTACCTGTGGGTCTTGGGGTTTAGGGGAGGGTTGTAGGGTTTAGAGGGTTTAGGGTGTAGGGCGTTTCGGGTTTAGGGCTTAGGGCCTGAAAGTTCTTAATTCTATACCCCAGCTTCTGCCAGGCGCCTGGCCCATGCCAAGACGCTGCCGGCGCGGCCACGTGCCCAGGCGGGGGTCTTTTACCGGAGTCCCAAGCAGTGCTTTGGGATGTGAAGCCCTAAAGACTAAAGCCTGAACCGAGTCATGTTTTAAATTCCTTGCTCTGTGTTGAAAGCAAAGGTCAGTACATTCTTGAGGTGGTGGCGGTTTGGGGGGGGTGTATAATTTTTATTTGGGGCACAACCCTACAAACTTTTAGGACGCTAAACCAGAAGCCACAAGGGCCTTGGGATTGTATCGTTTGGCACTATCCTGGGAAGTAGGTTCTCGTGTCTTTGTCTGAATGCGAAGCATGTGTGTGTGTGTGGTACCGTTTAGTATGAACTACCAACCATAAGTCTATCTTCAACCCTGTCATTGCCTATCATCCACGTTTGACTCTTGCAAATGTGAGCGTGTAGGGCCAAGGGACCCCAAAACCGGATGCACTGCAACCTCCACGGCCCTATTGGGCCGTCGCAAAAAAATCCTTCGGCTGGGCAACCGGGTAGTCAGGAGAATCCTGTGTATGGCGCTAACACACCAACTGCGTAGAGTGGGATGCTTCTTTCATTCTTTTGAATTCGGGGTGTTAGTTCCCTTATTAACAGCCCTTTTATCAACCAAAGGTACCCCTCTGTGTGTATTTAGGCCATCCGCCCATGTCTTTGTCGTTTCAGGGGGCTTATAGGGCTTAGGGCTTACGGGTTGAGAGCTGCTTTCTGTTGGGCGTGTCGTAGACGTCACTGAAGCTGTCAGCAGCTTTAGCCTAGATTAGGCTCCCACCGTTGCGCATATTTCTTTTTGGTTGGAGTGAGGCTTGTTCTGAATACTTGTACAGCTATGCTGAGGGACGGAAAGCGCACGAGTTTCTAAGACCAGCTTCCTTGTGGAGACTCCGGCCCCCCCCAAACAGCCTCGTCCGTTAAAGCCTTAGAAGTACCTGCATACCCGAAATTCGCGCACATGTGCCAGCTCTAGGCATGGGTATCTTAGTAGCATTTCGAGTCTATGGTATCCCAATTCAGGGTGTGGGGTGTGTGAACACTGACATGGTTCTTGCTAGAAGCCTTCTCGGCCGACTGTTACAACTCTACTTACATCCCACTTGGAGGACTTTGAGGGGGGGGGGGGGGGGTTATCATACGTACAGTTCTAATTGGCCTTAGAGGTACTGTGAGCCTCCCCAAGTCGGGCGCAGAGCAAGGCGCTGTAGACATTGCGCCTAGAATCTGGGAATCGCCAGAGACAAGCTGCGGAAAGGAAACTCCGAGATGTCAAAGGGGTTGTCGATGAGGAGTTGAAAGATTCCTTGTCGGCCGACACGGTGAAGTGATCGAGCGAAATTCGCTGGACCCTGCCGCATGCTCGGTGGATAGCGTGACGACATGTCACGGTCTTGCGCATTTTAGGGTTTAGGGTTTAGCATGTTTATGTTATCAGTATATGTTCATGTAGCATTTGGTCCCCAAGGATCCCTTCATGCGCCACTGCGCAGGAGCCGCGGCAGTCGAGGGGGCCTGTTATCACCCAGCCTGCCACGGCGCAGGAGGCAGGGAACCCTAAGACCCCTGCACCTTAACCCCTAACCCCTAAACCCTAAACCCCAGACCCGAAACCCTAAACCCTAAACCCTAAACCCTAAGCCCTAAACCCTAAACCCTAAACCCTAAACCCTAAACCCTAAACCCTAAACCCTAAACCCTAAACCCTAAACCCTAAACCCTAAACCCTAAACCGAACCCTGGGCCCTAAACCCTGACCCCTAAACTTCGAAGGACCCTTCAGTTCGCCGTCCCACTTCGACCGCCATCTGAGTTCCGGGTTTAGGGTTTAGGGTTTAGGGCTTCGGGTTTGGGGTTTGGGGTTTAGGGCTTGGGGTTTAGGGTTGAGGGTTTAGGTTTGGGCTTGGTTGTAAAAGGGCTTGCTCAAAGGGCTGCGTTCTTGCCCCAAGGGGTTCGATTGGGGAGGGGGTTTAGAAATTTGTTGGGGGCTTGAGCAAGGTTCTTGTTTCATATGAAACCCTAACCCTAAATGTAAACCCTAAAAACCAAGGAAGCGCTTGGAGGGTTTTATTATGATAGTTTTCGCAGAAGCATACTCCTTAAACCATGAACTCCAAACCCCAAATCCTATACTCAAAACCCAACCCCCAAAACCCTAACTAAGCCCCGAACCCTACCACCTAAACTCGATCCCTGATCCCTAACCCTAAACCCTAAACCCTAAACCCTAAACCCTAAACCCTAAACCCTAAACCCTAAACCCTAAACCCTAAACCCTAAACCCTAGACCTCAGCCAAGCGATTGAGCCCGAGAGGCACAGTCCATTCCGGTCACGTCCATTCCGGCCACGGAGAAGGCCCGCCGTCTGGAGAAGGCCCGTGGTGCGTTTGGGCTTTAGGGTTTGAGGTTTAGGGTTTAGGGTTTAGGGTTTAGGGTTTAGGGTTTAGGGTTAGGGGGTTTAGGGTTTAGGGGGTTTAGGGTGTAGGGATTGGGCTTAGTTTTAGGGTTTAGGGTTTGGGGTTGAGGGTTTAGGGTTTGGGGTTTGGGGTTGGGGATTTAGGGTTTTGCGCTCACAGCTGCCTAGATAGTCACCGATACTTTTCCCCCTCCTTACGAGAAATGGCATATATGCGACCCGGCACCCTAAACGGCCCAAGCAAGATCCACACCCAAGCCCCCTCGTCAAACCCCGAAACCCCGAAACCCTAAACCCTAAACCCCAAACCCCAAACCCTAAACCCTAAACCCTATAAACCCTAAACCCCAAACCCAGAACAAGAAACGCAGGCCCTGACTGGCGACGCTGCGAGTTGGACCATGGGCGACAGCAGCTCGCCCTGCAAGCGCGTTAGTTGCTTTGGGTGTAGCGTTTCGGGTTTAGAGTTTAGGGTTCTTTCGTCGTGTTTTGTTTCGTGTTGTGTTGTTTTGTTTGGTTTTGTGTTGGTTTGTTTTGGTTTTGGTTTAGGTTAATCTGCAGTATGCGCGATTCATGTCGCTCATTTGCCTTCTGCTTTTTGTTGGGTGGGGAAGTTAGGGTTTAGGGTTGAGAGCACCCATTGGCCGTATGCAGGCCTAAGCCCAGACCCTAAACCCCCCTTGTGCCCTAAGACTGCAAAGCTTACAAACCTAAAGTCCTAAACTCTAGACCCTAGACCGTAAAAACATCAAACTCAAACCCTATTATGGCTGCACCCAATAGCCCTAAAGCCCTAAGCCCCAATGCCGCAGTAACGACCACACCCTACAGCTCTGAGCCCTGAAGCCCTAAGCCCTAAACCCTAAACCCTAAACCCTAAACCCTAAACCCTAACCCTCAACCGTAAAGACCTTTAAACCCCAAACCTTTACCTAGACCCCTACCTCTGCACTTGGGGGCTGTCGAGGCCAAGCAAATTGGGCCGTGGACGACGTGCTATTGGACCTGGGAATTTCGGCAGCAGGAAGACTCGGGTTTAGGGTGTATAGGGTTTAGAGGGTTTTAGGGTTTAGGGTTTACAGTGGTTAGGGTTTAAGCGGTCATGTTCAGGGCTTCGCTTGCCTAGATAAAGTATCCAACCCCAAACCTTAAACCGAAGCCTGTATACCCGAAAGCTCTGACCCCCCAACCCCCAAAACCGTAAACCTCAACCCCCAAGCCCTAAACCCCTAGCCCTAAAACTCCCCAAACCTAAACCCCAAACCCCAAATTCCCCGGAACCGTCAGCCCCCCCAAGCCCCAAAAACCACAAAACCCCGAAACCCCAATCCGAAACAGCCCCCCTCCCGCAAAGGAAACCTAGACCCAAAACCCCAGAACCCCTCCAAAAAAACCCCAAAACCCCTACAAACCCCCTGTACCCCTCCAAAAACCCACAACACCCCTCCAAAAAACCCCCAACACCCCTCCAAAACCCTCCAACACCCCTCCCAAAACCCCTCCAATAACCCCAAAGCCCCAAAGCCCCAAACCCCAAACCCCAACCCCAAACCCTATACCCTAAACCCTAAACCCTAAACCCTAAATCCCAGGCAAGAAGGCCACAGACCCATCCGAGCTCATCGTGGCTGCCGACTCCTCTACCGTGGAGAATATCAGCCTGGAAGGCCGGCGCAAAGTGGGATTAGGGTTTAGGGTTTAGGGTTTGGGGTTTAGGGTTTAGGATTTAGGGTTTAGGTTCAGGGTTCAGGGTTCAGGGTTCAGGGTTTAGGGTTTAGTTTAGTTTTTGTTGTTTGGGGGGGGGGGGGGGCAGTAATCAGGATTGTACTACTTTCCTGGGGTTGGTGGTGGTGGTTTTCCGCGGTTCTTGGCGTGGGGTGTATTGCTTTAAGGGTTGAGGCGTCTGTCTGAGGGGGTTTAGGGTTTACGGTTCAGGCTGCAGGGCGTTAGAGTTCTAAACCCTAAACCCTAAACCTTAGGGGTACTTGGAAATAGTTGTTAGTTTTTGGGTACTCTAATTCCTAAGAAACAGCAAAAATATTAGATTTTTTGCTGGGGTTCCAAGTTCAGTACCGAAACCCGTTTGGTAAGGCCGGCTTGGTTGTGCGTCGGAGCAGCCTCGAAGTGAGGTTGAGGGTCTGGGGTTTCAAGCTCAGCTGCGCACATGGGTTTAGGGTTTAGGGTTTAGGGTTTATAGGGTTTAGGGTTTAGTGAAACGGTGGTGTGGGGAGGTGGAGGTGGAGGGGGGAGTTCTGTCATGGAACCCTTGCACCCTGAATCCGAAACCGCAAGAACCCCGAGACTATCAACCCTAAACCCGTATGGTTATAAGTGCCCTCAACAGGGTTATAAGCAAAGTTACCATAATCTTCACCCTGCTTATAAGCACCCATGAGCCTCCAAGAACCCCCGCGCCCCCCAAACTCTAAACCCTAAACCGTAAACATTCAGAGCATTGGAACCCTGACCTTCAGTTCCTAAGATCCCACCGAGGGCCCAACCCAAACCCTGCTTCGAACCTCAAGGAAAAACCCTGAACCCTAAACCTTTCAGCCCTAAACCCTAAACCCGAAGCCCTAAGCTCCGCAGGGGTACGAACTTGGTTCCCTTTCCTGATCAGGAGAAGAAGATGAGAGCAAAGAGGCCAGTAAACTTCATCCCCCCCACCGGGCGTGCCTCCTCCAAACGCGAAGCCCTAGCCCTAAACCCTAAACCCTAATCCCTGAACCCTAAACCCTAAACCCTGAACCCTGAACCCCAACTTCTGCCCTTCAGCATCTTCAACCCGAAAAGCTGTGGTTCGGGTGTCAGGACTCCGCGTTGGGAGACGCGTCACTCCTCCTAAAGCGGCTAGACATCACGGCCATGACCCTGAGCCCCGGGTTGTTAGGGTTTAGGGTTTAGGCTTTAGGCCTTAGGCTTTAGGCTTTAGGCTTTAGGTTTTAGGGTTTAGGGTTTAGGGTTTAGGGCCAGGGTCAATTTGAGCTGTGGTCCGATCCTGGGGTTTCAGGATTTCAGGGTTTCAGGGCTGCAGGAATCGTTTGCGTGATTAGGATTTAGGAGTTTAGGGTTTAGGGTTTAGGGTGTAGGGTTTAGGTTTAGGGTTTAGGGTTTCAAGAACCTTCAAACACCTAAACTGAAAACCCTAAACCGAAAAAATCCTACGGCCCTACATCAGGATGAGGGGAACGAAGAGGACTTCGATGCGGTGCCCCTGCCAGGGATGGCCTTTCACGTGACCAGGCGCGTCTATGGTGTGCCGAGATTCTTTTTAGGGTTTAGGGTTTAGGGTTTAGGGTTTAGAGTTTAGGGTTGAGGGTTGAGGGTTTAGAATTTAGAGTTTAGGGTTTAGGTTTTGGGGGCCCTGAGCCCTATAAACCCGAAGCCCTAAACCGGGTATCTAGGGCCACTGCGTTTCATAACCGAACTCCTGGTGACAGATGAAGGGGTGGAGGTTGGAGAAACTCAGTTCTGCGCGGTGGTCCCCTATCCGACACTCCTTTTCATCGCCCTAAACCCGACCCTCAGCCTGAACAAGAAGCCCCGAAGCCCTAAGCCCTACAAGGACTCCTTGTGTAGTATAGCTTCTTGGCACCAAAAAACCCGACAACAAGCCCTACATAAAGCCTTAGACCCTGAGCCCTTAACCCAAAATCCGCAACTCAAAGCCCTGAAACCACAAAGCCTCCAACGCCAAACCCTCAACCCCCAAAGCCCTAAACCCTTAAAACCCTAAAGCCTTAAACCCTAAACCCTAAACCCTAAACCCTAAACCCTAAACCCTAAACCCTAAACCCTAAACCCTAACCCCGCCCAAAGAAAGCCCTGTGAAAAGGTTGCCAGAGGAGGCCACGGCCAGCGAACTGCGTAAGATGTGTCAGGAGCTGGAGCTTAAGGCCGGGGCTTGCACTTTGGGGGGTTGAGGTTTAGGGTTTAGGGTGCAGGGTTGAGGGTTCAGGGTTGAGGGTTCAGGGTCCAGGGCGTAGGATTCAGGGTTTAGGGGTTGATGTGTCAGAAGCTGGAGCTCAAGGCCGGGAATTGCAGGAAGCTTTAAAACCCAACCGGGCTTTGGGGATTTAGGGCTTCGGGTTCATGGTTTAGGCTTTAGGGTGAAAGGCTGTAGGGGTTTAAGGGTTTAGGGCTTTCGGGGTTAAGGGTCCAATGCTTGAACTTTCGATTCTTTGGGTTTCCTCATTTGATGGGAATAGTAAGGTTGAACAGTGGTCCCTTGGCTATTGGAGAAGTAGGTTCAAGACCCAAACCTGTTTTAAGCGGCTTTGGGCTATTAAGAGTTGTAGGGCTATTCAGGGTTCAGGGTTATTTCGGGTTTTCGGGTCTTAGGGTGTAGAGTGTAGGTGTAGGTGAAGGTATGGCTGTTTTCGGTTTGGGGCTCAGTGGGTTAGGGCTTAGGGTTTCAGGACTTCGAAGGTGAAATGTAGGGTTTCGGGGGTTTTGGGGAGCAGGGACTAGGGGTCCAGCTCCCAACACCCCAAGCCCGAAGCTATATCCCGAGAGCCCTATACACCCCAGATCCCTAAACCCAGACCCCAAAGTTCTAGACCCTGAAGCCCCAAGACTTTAGAGCTAAACCCCGAAACCCTACGCCCTAAGACGCACAAGACCCTAAGACCCCCAAAATCCGGCAACCTCTAAGCAAGGTTACGTTCATAAGATACATAAGCGCTATGTAAGGGTTGCCATCCCAAACACGAAACCCAAAACCCTAAACCCTATCCCGTATTCCCTAAACCCCAAACCCTAAACCCTAAACCCGAAACCCGAAAACCCGAAACCCGAAACCCGAAACCCGAAACCCTACCCTCAACCCCTAAACCCTAAACCCCCCAGAAAGCGCGCTGGAGAGGTGATACGGCTACGGCTTTCCGGGAACTCCGCCGAGGTCCTGGTTGGCCCGCCTGGGGCCCTAAAGGGTTTCGGTTTAGGGTTTAGGGGTTTAGGGTTTAGGGTTTTGGGTTTTGGGGTTTTGTGGTTCTGAGTAGGGAATGCGGGAGTTGATTACCTGATCTCCCCTATATATGCCCTTGTAAATTTCGGTAAAGTATGTACGTACAAACAAATTCCCAACATTGCCTGCTAAGAAACAGGAAGTTTGCGTAGCCAGTTGACGTGTCTATACGGTGTGTAATCGGAAAGTAGCAGGCTTACTTGGAGGTTCAGGGTACTTATTAACCGATCATAACTGCACTTATAACCCACTGACAAGCCCCTGAAGTCCGGTTATAAGTACAGTTTTTCATTAATTAGTTAAGAAGTACCCTGAACCTTCAAGTAGGGTGTGGGGTTGTCAGGGAAATGGGGTCCCCTAACCCTAAACCTGATAAACCCTAAACCCTGCTGACCGCGGGCGCTTGCGAAAAGGGCTGGGTCAAGAGCTAGCAGTGCTTTCGTTTTTCTCTTGTGATTTGAGAAATGTGCTAGTTCGAGCTTCGTTCAAGTTTCTGTCCAGCATTCAACAGCTGTAGAGTTTGTGGGTCCTTCAACTTCCTGGTTTCATGTTTGCTCAATGTTAGTGGGGTTTTGGGGTTGCGGGGTTTAAACCTGATACCCCAAACCCCATTCTAAACCCTAAAACCTAAACCTTTAGGGTTTAGGGGTTCGAGCTAACCCAAACAGGGCTTAAGTAGGGTTCAGGTTCTAGGGGTTCTGGAGTTCTGGAGTTTAGGGTGCTCTGGTGCTAGGGTTCTCAGTTTTTTGGGTGCTAGGGTTTCAGGGTCTAGGGTCCTAGGTTTCTAGCTGGGTTTAGGGCTTAACTCTAAACCCTGAACCCTAAACACCCCTCAATAAGGGCCGAAGGGTGCCTTAATGGGGGTGGTCGTTAGGGCATCTTAAGGGGTACTTGGGGGGTTCTAGGAAGGCCCTAAAGGCCTAAATCCTCAACACAAAGCCACAAAATCCTAAACCCTAAAACCCTAAAACCCTAAACCCTAAACCCTAAACCCTCCAAATCCTAAGCCCGAAACCCTTCAAATCCTAAGCTCTAAGCCCATACTTGCAGCGTCCAAGGCTGCAGGAGCCCGAGCGCAGCAGGCATGACAGGGTTTGGGGATGTAGGATTTAGGGTTTAGGGATTTAGGGTTTAGGGTTTAGGGTTTAGGGGGTAGGGGTCTAGGGATTTAGGGATTTAGGGTTTTGGAATGGGGTTAAGTCATTGAGGGATTTAGGGTTCGGGGAATGGGGTTTAGGCATTTAGGTATTTACTAGCGCTTCGGGTTAGGAGTTGCAAGGTGTTGCTAGCTGAAATGGTTCAAGCGCTAAACCTAAAACCTACAACCCTAGAACCCTAAACCCTGAAACCTCCTAAACCCTACAGCCCTAGAACCCTAAACCCTGAAACCTCCTAAAACCTACAGCCCTAGAACCCTAAACCCTGAAACCTACTTGGGTTGAGGGTTCAGACTGAAACGGTTTAAATAGGGTTGGTTGGGAGCCGCCACCGCTGCACAGATTGGGGGTTTTAACCCTGAACCCTAAGCCCTAAACCCTAAACCCTGAACCTGTGAATGTGAATGGCCCTCTTGGCGTCGGCGATGTTTTCACATGGGGTTTATGTGTAGGGTGCCAAGAAGAAGTTTAGGCAACTCTTGCTTTGATGTTTTCCTGAAAATTGGGGTTTAGGGCCTAACCCTAAACCCTAAACCCTAAACCCTAAACGTTTATAAGGGTTGCCTGCAGTTGTAGGGTGCCAAACTGGGTGTAGGCCATACATAATCCCAGGGGCAATTCAGGCTTACCACCCCATCCTCCCGTCTCAGAAGAAGCCTAAATGGGGTTTAGGGGTTTAGGGTTTTGGGTTTTGGGTTTTGGGTTTACCCCAAGCCCTTAACCTTAAACCCTAAACTCTAAAGCCTTTAGGGTTCATGACAAAGCCTTCAAGCCTTCAAGTCTTCCAACGCTTTTTCACCTAAAAACCCTTGCGCCCTAGTATTATAACCTCTAGAGCCTTAAACCCTGAACCCTTCGGAACGAGTTCTTCGAGCAGGCGGGGCTTCCAGCATCTCAGCATCTCAGCATCCCGCTGATATCTTTCAAAGAACGGCAAAGTCAGCTTTCCCTCCCCTCCTCGCCGACTACAGCATGGTCACCGAGATGCACAAGATCGCAGATGGTGCCCAAGTGGCCCCGGGTCCAGTGGTATCAGTCCATCCAAGTCCTTCCAACACTTGGCGTGCACCGAACATCCCGGCACGGCTCCTCCAGGAATGGTTCAGCCGTGGATCGTCACAGAAGGTCCGCCCACCACCATGAGGAGTACAGGGAAGAGTTTAGGGTTTGGGGTCTAGGGCAAGGTTGGGGTTGTAGGGTTTAGGGTTTTTGGGGTTATAGGGTTCGGGGGTTTAGGGTTGTAGGGTTATAGGGCTATAGGGTTTTGGGGTTTTAGGGTTTTAGGCTTGTTGGGTTATAGGGTTTTGGGGTTATAGGCTTTGCGGTTTAGGGTGTAGTGTTTTTGGGGTTTAGGGCAAGGTTGGAAGACCGTTGTATTCCGCTCGACTTCGGAAAGGGAACTCCCAAAGGAGGTACCTTAGATTAAGGGTTCTAACCTGAAACCCTAAGCCCTAAAACCCGAAAACCCTAAACCCGAAACCCTAAACCCTGTAACCCCATAGCCCTATAACCCCATATCCCTATAACCCTATAACCCTAAACTGAAAGGCGCATGCACCTCCTCTCCTGCCTGCTGGAGAGCGCCGGCTGCTGCGTCACAGCCAGCCGGATCCAGTTTCGTCCAGTTGTCCTAAGCCCTCAACCCTCAACCCTCAACCCTAAACCCTAAACCGGGTTTGAGTTGAAGGGTGTCTGCCTGCGTCAGGGGCACTGAGTAACCCTCCCATCTGAGCGTGTTTCGATTTCATCGCCCTACATTCCTAAGAGAACTGCTGGGCCTCCAAGATCTTCACATCCCCTTCCCCCCCCCCCCCCCCCCCCCCCAAAACAATCCCCCACCAACCAATCCCCCCCCATGTACTTTCGGTAGCCCTACCAATCCCCCCCCCCCCCCCCCCCCCCCCCCCAAACCCCCCCCCCCCCCCCCCCCCCCCAAAAAAAAAAGGAAAGAAACAAAAAACATCAGAGGTCTAGGTCAAAGGGGTTAGGGTTTGTGGGGCTGAGGGGAGGGGGATGTGAAGATCTTGAATGTCCAGCACTTCCCTTCTTCCTATTTCAGGGAAGTGTTCGGTTTCCGTTTATACATCCCAATCTCCATTCAACAAGAAAGCGTACAGGGTTTGGCTCACCCTTGCCTTGCCGTATAAGCTGAAGGCTTCCCCTGTACATTCCAGGGACGTAGGGTTTAGGGTATGGGGTTAAGGGTTAAGGGTATAGGATTTAGGGTTCCAGTATCCCAAATATTCGTCCCCTGGAAGTATGCGGTTCATGTCATTTTGCAATTGGTAGTCGTTTCATGACATTTCGGTCTTTCGGAGTCCCTTAACAAGGCTAGGCGGATGCCACTCTGTACGAGCAAGCCCATTTGCGGCTTGTAGGGCAAGTCGGAACCCCAAAGCGTACCAAGTAATGGCTGAGGGACTCCCAAAACCCAATGTAATGATACTTCCAACCCGGGGTGATACCTCTGTATAAACCCTAAATCCAGCGCCACGCCCTTTTGCTTCTGTAGCCCCCAAACACCAGACCCTACACCCCAAACCCTAAAAACCCTAAACTCCAAAACCCTAATACCCCTAAACTCCAAAGCCCCAAAACACCCTAAGCTCAAAAACCCCACAAATCCCAAGCTCCAAAACAGCCAGAACCCTAAACCCTCAACCCGAAGAACCCCAAACTCCAGAACCCCCAAAATCCCAAGCTCCAAAACAGCCAGAACCCTAAACCCTCAACCCGAAGAACCCCAAACTCCAGAACCCCCAAAAACCCCAAGCTCCAAATCAGCCGCGCCGCTCCTTGCGCCAGGTTTGTGCGAACGAGTTCTAAGAGCCGCACCCGTCCCGGGTTGAAGGGTTTCTTTTCTGGGCTCTAGGAGCACCCTGAACCCTAAACCCTAAACCCTAGACCCTAAACCCTAAACCCTAAACCCCAAACCCTAAACCCTAAGCCCTAAGCCCTAAGCCCTAAACCCTAAACCCTAAACCCTAAACCCTAAACCCTAAACCCTAGACCCAGCCCTCAGGGCGGGACACCAGGAGTTGACAGGATACCCAGGGTCCACTCAGGTTGGGGTTTCGGTTGGTTTTGGGGGGGGCCTTGGTGTGGGGTTTAGGGTTTACGGTTTCGGGTTTGGGGTTTGGGGGTTTGGGGTTTGGGGTTTAGGGTTTAGGGTATAGGGTTTAGAGGGTTTGGAGGGTTTCGGGTCTCTAGGGTGGTCGGTACTGAGTTCTTCAGGTTCGGGGTACCTCGGAGGGTTGGGAAAGGTTGGGGTTGGGTGTAGGCTTTAGGGCAGACGTCCATTCAGCAATAGACCTCAAGCTCCTTTGGTCCTTAAGCCTTAGTGCCCCTAACCCAGGAGGGACAGGATACTTAGGGCAAGATGAGCTGAAAAAGGTCGGCCCAGGATAGGGCTCAGGGTTCGGGGTTTAGGTTTAGGGTTAAGGGTTAAGGGTGAAGCGTTAAGGGTTTTCGGGTTAGGTTTCAGGCTTTAGGGTGAAGATATGGGCCAGACATCCATGCAGTAATCGACCTTAACCTTAAGCCCTTATAAACTCTTAAACCCTTCAGTCCTATAACCCTGAAGCCCCAACACCCTAAAACTCTAAACCGTAAACCCTAAACCCAAACCCGACATGGCCTACAAAGCGGAGACGCTACAGCCCGGCACCCTAAAGACCCTGCACCCGAAACCCGAAACTTCTAGGTTAGTTCATGGTCCCCTTAATATGGGCCCTTTATTGGGGGGAAGCCTCAGAACTCTGGAAAAGAAGGTATGGGACCATATGAAGGGACCATGACACTTCCCTTAAACCCTACACCCTAAACCCTAAACCCTAAACCCTAAACCCTAAACCCTAAACCCTAAACCCTAAACCCTAAACCCTGGCGGGCAAGCTGACCTCGGCGGGCGCCCCAAAGTTGGAATCCCGGCCGATCTTTGCAGCGCTGGTGGCGCGGAGGAAGCTGTCGGCTGCTTTCCGCAAGCCCTACTTGGAGGTTTCGTGGGTTTAGGGTTTAGGGCTAGGGTTTAGGGTTTAGGGTTTAGGGTTCAGGGTTAGGGTTCAGGGTTTAGGGTTTAGGGTGGTTTCCGAAAAAAGGGTTTAGGTTTTTTTGGGGGGGGGTCCCTTGTCAGGGAATCCTGTTCTGTTTGGGGTCTGTATGAGGGGTCCCTTAGGTTCGTTAACCCCACTTGGAGCTTTGTGGGTTTAGGGTTTAGGTACAATGTAAGGTTCATAACCCCAATGATAAGTCTACTACGGTCATCATCAGCGTTATAAGTACCCACGAGTTTCCAAGGCAGCCCTCAAGAGATGACGTACGCCTCAACCTTGAACCCTGAACCTCAGGACTCAGGAGGGGAACATGATACAACACACAAATACTAGCGTAGGAACATTAAATTATGCATATACACAATGAGAATGAGTTCAAAATTCTATATCTACTCAGGAGGGGACGAGGGGGCGGTCTTTGTGTGGAAAGCCGCTGTGGAAAGCGTGCCGGTGAGTGTCTGGGGCATTGGGTTTCGGATCCATGGGCCAGGTTCGAGAGTTCCGAGTCTAAACAGGGGCTATGGTTTAGGGCTTAGAACCCTAAACCCTAAACCCTAAACCCTAAACCCTAACTGTTGGTTACGCTGCAGCCGCGGGGGCAGAAGAGAGGGTGCCCATGTTTCACAGGTAGAACGTGCCCAGGTGGTGTGCAGAGCACGGGACCCACCCGCGAGGCTGAAGAGCGTCAAGGAACCCCACGAAACGACTCGTGGACAAGGGTTCTTTGGGTTGAGGGTTTATAGTTTAGGATTACTTAACCTTGTAGGCTTAGAAATCCCGGCCCACGAAGTCTGGGGACCGTGCTACCGGCACACCGAACTGCTCCAAAGCAGCTTCCAGGTTTGGGTGGCAGAGCTCAAGCCTTCAGGGCTTGAGGGTTTAGGGTTTCAGTTTAGGGGTTTACCCTGAAACCCTAAACCCTGAACCCTAAACTCCCTAAACCCTACCCTGAAGCCCTAAACCCTGAAACCCTGAAACCCCTAAGCCCTACACCATTCCTTGGGTTGCGCTTGCGTGTTGGGGCGAGCTTCCGCCACCTCCCAGCCTGCGACCCGCCGGGCAACGCGCGCTTGGAGCAGCCAAAAAGCGTGCACGAACTCCATCTTTCAGCTAGGTGCTCACAGGGTTTAGGGTTTAGGGTTGAGGGTTTAGGGTTCAGGGTTTAGGGTTTAGGTCTGGGGGTTGCGGGCTGAGGGTTGAGGATTCAGGCTGTAGTGTTGAGGGTGATCGGGTGCAGTTGTGCAATTAAGATAAAGCTTGCGATGCTTCTTTGGCTTTAGAGTTGGACTTGATTCTTGCAGAATAGCCTTAAGAACCCAAGCCTTGAAAAGTCTTAGGCCCCCCTACAGAGTCTCGAAACCCCGAAACCTCGAACAACACTCAGACCAAACCCCATATGGCCCTGATCGCCCCCTAAAGAGCTCTTAAGAACACTCTCTTGTCATAAGCCCGAAACCATAAAACCCTAACCGAAAATGCCCTAAACGCCGCAAGCCCCACAAGCCCTTGTAGGTTAGGGCTCATGCTTCCGAGTTTGCAGCATCAACCCAACACAAAGACAAACTAGATTGCCGGGTTGTTGTTGTTTTTGTATTGGGTGCTCTTAAGGGTTTACGGGCTTTGCGTTGATCATCTTGAGTACTCTTAAGGATTTACGGGCGTGGGGTTTAGTTTTGTGCTCTGAAGGGTTTACGGGCTATCGGTTTATTTTATTGGGTCGCTTTAAGCGTTTTTGAGTTGTGTGTTTTGATTTTGGGGGGGGTGCTCTGACCGATCAAACCTAGAAGAATCCTGAGGAATGTGCCCCTATGATCCTAAAGACTCTAAACCCCAAAACCCTAAAACCCTCAACTCTACACCCTCTTTATAGCCTGAACATGCCTAACCCCTATGCACGCTAAACCCCTACACCCTAGAGACCCTAAACCCTCAACCATGCACCCTAAACCCTGAACCCTGAACCCTCAACCCTAAACCCTAGGGTGCAGGGTTTAGGGTGAGAGGGTGTTTGGGAACCCTAGAGCCTGGACCTGTTGCCCCTTATGCAAACAGTCCTCCGTAGGGCTTATGGTACCCCTATCGTAATCCATATTAAGGACTGTTAGTACAAGGGGAACATCCCAACCCTAAACCCTAGAGACCCTGGAGACCCTAGAGACCCTAGAGACCCTAGAGACCCTAGAGACCCTAGAGACCCTAGAGACCCTAGAGACCCTAGAGACCCTAAAGACCCTAAACCCCAAACCCTAACCCTAAACCCTAAACCCTAGTCATGCCAGAGGCCGCTCCGGGCTTCGACCTGGGCAGCCTCCCCAAGGCGGAGGTTCGGCCGGGGTCGTGGAGAGCGGGGGGGAGGGGGGGAGGGTTAGGGTTTAGGGTTTAGGGTTGAGGGTTTAGGGTTTAGGGTTTAGGGTTCAGGTTTTAGGGTTTAGGGCTTAGGGCTTCATGCTTAGGGCTTATGGGATTAAGGCAGGCTTTACGTCTTTAGTTTTGTTTTTCTCGGGAGGGGGGGGGATTGTGCAAGGGCTTAGGGTTGAAGGGCTTTTTAAGGGCTTAAGGGCTTACTGGCTTTAATGGTCTACGGGCTGAGGGCTTTAGGGTGTTGGGCGGGACAGGCTATGGTGGGCTCTTGGGACATTCTATATTTCCCCTTATTGGGTTCTAAGAGGATCATATTCAGAAATATCTTTCAGAGAGGGTTCATGGTTCATGTACCTTATAATCGGACGTACATTATAGTAGTATCGGGTATATGGCCCCAAATATGTATGTATGTGTATATATATATATATGTATGTAAACCTTAAAAGGACGTATGTTATAATAGTTTTGGTCTCCGAGGCAGCAGCATGTCAACGAGGCTGCCTTGTGCGCGGCTGTTGTCGGGAGGGCCCCTAAACCCTCAACCCTAAACCCCAAACCCCAAACCCTAAACCCTGGGGTATCCAACAGCACGCTTGACGCTCATGTTGAGCGAGCTACCCTGGCAGTCTTGGTCTTCGCAGGTGCATGTCTTGCTGCATCAATTTGGGCTTCCCGCCCCTCGCCTGACCTTCAGTGCTCAGGGCTTTGCACCCCTGTGCCCGGCGTGACCGCGCCTTGTGCAAGCACGTTTTGCGGGCTTGCCGTCATAAATTGCGAAAGTCGTTGTTGCAAGACGTTGCCCAGAGCCTGACCGCATGATACCGCATGCACCTCGTGAGTTGCCTTCAAGAGTGCATTCCGTCTTTCGTCGGTTCCATGGTTGTTCCCATTCCGCGAGCTGGACTTCTATGATGCAGAGCCTGGAAGATTCTTCGAATCATGCTTGTAGCCACTTTGATTGTGGAGTGCTGGCGTGAGCTTTCTATACTTTTATAATTCTTACTAATAGGGTATAAGCCCTTTTTGGGTTCGTTGGGTCTGCAAGGTTAGGGTTCAGGGAGATGGGTTGAGGCTTTAGGGGCCAAGAATTGGGTCTCGGGGTGTTTGGTGTTGGGGCTTCGCCGTAAAGTTAGTAAACCTGCCAAACCACCGCTTAAGCCTTACCAAGCTGGCATTGAATCCGACCAGAACCCGAATTACACCCTCAAGACTTTTACTTTGAACCGAAACCCTGTAAAGTCCCAAGCTCCAAGCCCCAAGCTTTCAACCCTGCCAACCCTAAGCCCTAAACCCCTAAACCCCTAAACCCTAAATCCTAAACCCTAAACCCTAAACCGCAGGCCGATCCCACAACGCCGAAGCCCATGCAAGGAGCTCAGCTTCTTGTAGCGGCGCCTCAGGGTTTAGGGT